ACCCAGCTCTGCTTGGGGCCACTCCCAGGGGCTCATCCCCGAGGCCAGAGCACAAGAGCGGGGCGGCAGCATTTAGCAGCCTCCGGGTGCCCCAGGAGGACGCCGGTGCCGTGATGTCCCGTGTCTGCAGCCACAGCCCTGGGCACTTCCCGCCATTCCTTGCTGCCCCCAGGGCCAACCTTCCCTCCCTTCTTCTCTCCGCCAGGCTGGCCGGGGCCTGCCCCCAGGGGGGACTCCGCCATCCCCTTCCCACCCGCACCCTCTGAGCCACGGGGCCTGGCTCACGGCCCTCGGCGCTTTTCCCCGGTGGGTCAAACCCGTGAGCCCCTCAAAGCCCTGGATGTTGCTGACACTCTTTAACGTGGACCCCAGACCATGGTGGTGGCTCTGGGCTTGTCAGTTCGCGCGTGTGAGTGAATGAGTGTGTGCGTGTCCGGGAGTGAATGGATTTGTGTGCATCTGGGTGTGTACATATGCGTGGTTGTGTGTCTGTCTCTGCATGTATACCCACGTGTGTCGTATATGTAACATGTATGATGTGACTCTAGGCGCATATACGTGAACTGTGTGTGAGTCTGGATGTGTGTACACGTGTGAGTCTGTGTACACGTATGTGTGTGTGTGTTCCTGTATATACGGGTGTGTGTCCATGTGTAGCGTATAGATGTGTGTGTGTGCGTGTGCGTGTGTGTGTCTGGCCCTCTGGGTGTGTGGGACCAGGGATGATGGGACAGATGCAGACGAGGAAGGAGCTGGAGACCCCAGGCCCCTCCTTGAGCCCACGCCCCCTAGGCTGGCTGCTAGGGACATAGGCTAAGAGGGGACAGGGAGTCCTACCATCCGAGGACGGTCACAGCCCCTTTGTCAAAGAGGCAGAGGGAGGTGGAGGCTCTCCCTGCTGGCCTGGGTGGGGCAATGGGGACACTTAGAATATTCACCTTGAGGGTGACTGAGACCATCGGTGAAAAGCACTCGGCGCTGTGCCTGACCCGGGGCAGCCCCGCGGAGGTCAGCGGCTGGGCCCATGGTCATTATTTACGATCACTGTGGCTGAGACTGGTGGCCGTGGTCCTGGCCGCCCCGGCCCCGCCGTAGCTCGTCCTGCCTTCCGCTTGGAGCTGGTGACTTTGGAAACTCTCTCCTCGGTTTGCCACCATCCAGGGCCCTCAGGCCTGGGACCCAGGAGGGTGTTTTCAAGTCCCTGAGGCCTGTCCCAGAGGCTGCCATAAGTCGATAGCGACAGGAAATGGGCTGGCAGCGAGTGGCCCTCCAGATAACCCTGGCAGCACCCGCAAGCCCCTGCCCGGCCCCCAAGCCCTTATCAGCTGCAGCCAATGTCTCCCCCCGAAGCTGGGAGCCCCACACTGACCTCCTTGACCCCTTGCCAGTGTTTGCAAACTAAGACCCAGCAGGCAGGGGGAGGGACAGGCTCGGGTCCCTGGTAAGAAAAGCCAACATGCCTGGTAGGATCTCACCTGACTTGACCCTGGGAACCCCGACTCTTCCCTGGGCAGAAGCCTGGGGTCCTGGGCCCCAGAAAAAGGGGGTTTGTAAATCTCAAAGTCAAAGTCACTGGAAAAAGCCCAAGGAAGTCCCTTGGGGACCCCCAGGGAAGGTGCAGAGAAGACAAGCCCCCTCCCCACATCAGGGTGACCCCATCTCACTTCAAAGCCCAGGGCCAACCACATGGAGTAGTCGGTGGGTTCCGGTGTCAGATCTGGCTCTGCCCAGGTGCTCCGCTCACCACGTTTCCTTCTGCCCTATTCCATGTGGACACTGCAGTCACTGGTCTCTGTCCCTCTGTCCCTCCATTCCCCTGGCCCAGCCTTTCCTGGCTCAGGTCTGTCCTGCATACTCCTCCCTGAATGGATGGTCCTAAAACTCCTGCCAGAAATCTCTGATGCCCACTCATCATCGCCTGCATCAGGTTCAGAATGCTTGCAGGTTTCAGGTTCCCTGAACTCAAACTTTTGGGCTGAGAGCTGAAGGAGGGACTCAGCTGGTAGAAGCTAGCAGACTCCACAGCACGTGCAAAGGGCCTGGGGCGGGCTGTGACTGGTGTGTCCAGCCAACAGGGAGGAGGCTAGTCTGGGCCTCATAGTTCCCAGTGATAGCATTGGCTTTTCCTTCCAGGGCCACAGGGAGCCACAGAGGGCTCTGAGCTGGGAGACGTGGTCTCACTTAGGCTGAACAGGACCCCTCTGGCTGCACGTGGAGCATGGACTGTAGGAAGACAAGGACAGAAGCAGCGAAGGAGCCATGGTGAAGGTCCAGAAAAGAGGGGGTGGTGCCTGGGTTGGGGGGCAGGTTCCAGACTGGCTTAGCTGGCAGAAACTTCTGGACCTGGCAACAAGTTAGATGTGAAGGTGAGGGGGAGAGAGGAGTTGAGACCAACTGGAATCTCTGGCTCAGCCAGAGAAGGAGGTGATGCCTGGGGGAGGTGATGGAAGGAGATGGGGACAGATTGCATGTTATGGGGCCCAGCTCTGCTCTGCGGGGTCAGGAGACGATAAGCCTGGTGCCTGGAGCGCACCTGGCCCTAAGTAGGGCAAACCCACGACCTCCAAGCCTTTGCTCACCAGGGGCGCCCATTCCATTCCCCCTAGATCCTCAGGAGGCCCTCCATTCTGTGCAGCCAAGCTGGGGTGTCCACCACTCCCCCTCGCCCCCACCAGGTTCAGGGGCCTCCCTGCTGACAGCATCGATCAGACCACACTATGCTAAGCTTGCTGGGTCGTCTGTGCACCACTATCCCTCCCCAGACTGCAGGCCACGGCAGGACCGCCCCAGGGTCCCGTAGCTTCCTCAGCTCCAGTTCCCTCACTTCCCTAAACTCATCTCCTGCCACTTTCTCCTCACTACCCCTTCTCCAGCCACACTGGCCTCCTTGCTCCATGCACCTACCCCAGGGCCTTTGCACTCGCTGCCATCTGCCTAGAACTGTCATTCTCCATCACCCTGTGATACCTGCTTCATAGCGCCAGTCAGTATCCGAAATGATCCCATACGCATGTTGTTAGGTATCCCCAACTAGATTATAAACCCCAATGGGTAGCATCATGTCTGTTTTATGACTCTCCCCAGTGTTTTGCTTCTATACCAGGCACGTGTCTTGGAATGAAGGAATGACTGAATTAATCTCCTCTCCAGCCTTAACACCTCCTCTGTGAGTCCCCCGTGATTTCTCCAGCATGGAGTTGTGGCTCCAGCAGAGTTGTGTGAAATGCCAGGACTACCCCTGGGCTGGGCCCCCTCAGCCCCAGACCGAGACTTCCCTTCCTGTGGCCTTGCACCCTGCCCTACCAGCACCCGGAGTGTAGCTGGCTCAGACACCGGCATTGTCCCCTCAGCAGCTGTCACTCAGGTTCTTCTAGAGGCACCCTCCCTTCTCTTGGGGAATTGCCCCCCATTCCATGGGATTCTGGGGAGCCACCAATCACACCACCATGCCCACCCCTGCCCCCCCGTTCTCAGGACGCTGCTCGGAGCATGTCACCCACGCTGAGCCTGTCAGCCCTCCCCTGGACTGGAAGCGGGCTGCAGGGGAGCAGGCACCCGGGGCGGTGGGGAGTGCCTGTTCCTTCCCTACATCAGTGGGAAGGTGGGTGGTGATGCGGGGACTGCGTCTGTCCCATCACTCTGGATGCCCACAGACCGGTGCAGGGTAGGGGCTCAAGGAACCGTCGATTAAAACCCCTGGCTCCCAAGCTGTGACACCAGGTGTGATCATGACCTGAGCCACCGGCCCATGAGGATTGTGGTGGGGGTGGGGGCGGTGTCGAAGGCCCCCACTTCGAGAGAAAAATCACAGACCAACTTTTTCTTTAAAGAAAACAAGTTTTATTTTTATAATCAGAACGTTCTAATAAAAATATTATTATAATATTAGCTACCTTTATTTTCTGGGCCTTGGCTCTGTACCAGGCGTGCCGCGAAGTGCTTGCCCACGTCGGTCAGCCCCCTGAGGCCTCCCACTTCCCTGAGGTAGGTCCGAAGGAATACCCCCAAGTGCCCCCCAACTCTGCGGCCCGCCCTCCCCAAATCCCTCTGCCCGTCTCCTCTGCCAGGCTGCCCCTCAGCTCACTCCCCTCCTCCTCGGAGCCGGGGGCCACCGCACAGCCCAGGTGCCCCGCCCTGTTGGAACATCTCGCCTCCAGCCTGGACTGAGCGAGACGCCAAGGCAGGTGGGATGTGTCTCAGCTCGATCCCACCGCCCAGGCTGGTATACAGCGGGTAACACCGCGAGGGAGGGCGGGCGGGCGGGCGCGGCTGTGTGGTTCTGCACTCGGAGGCCCCCCGCCACTGGCCGGGACACTGCGCTGCGGCCCCTTGGCCAGCGTATCACCTTGGGCCCCACTCCCGGCCGCCCCCTGCGGACAAGGCCGGGGGACAAGCTCTGAGACAACTTGCTGTCGCCTAGCGAGACGGGCCTGGAGACGCCTGCCCTCTGAGGGGCGCTTTATCACACGGAAATACTGTCCCTGTGTCCTCGGGCGGAGCCGTCGACCAAAGCGAGTCTCTCAAAGTCAAAAATAGGTTCTGGATTCTTGGTGGTGGGAGTGCCGGTTGAAAAAATAGACTGACATTCTGAAATCATCTTAGTAGCAAAACAATGACAGTAAGAAAAGAGCTGCAGCTTTGACGGAAAGGGACGTCGCCAGGGGCCCTGCTGCGCCCGGGAGCCCGGGGGGTGGGGGTGGGGGCGCGGTGGGCTGTGGTCTAGAAGACGCGAGTTCCG